CCTTCATCGTGTCCTTGCTTTAGTTCTGCTGCAGAGATCTCATAACACTGCAAATGTGTGTGTGTGTGTGTGTGTGTGTGTAGGGCTGAAGGAGAGATCATATTTATCAAAATATGTAAACATTTGAAGCAGGGGTATTTTGGTGTGGCTTATGGGAACAGGAATGTGACAAAGAGGAAGAAGTTAGAGAAGGAGTCATAGACAAAATTATGAGAATGGCAGTAGAAAATAGAAAAAGGACAAGCCAAAAGGCAGTACAAGGTACATCATAACTGGGAATGAAGTGTTGGGGGTTGTTGAACATGATAAAAGATCAAAACCAAAATTCATATTAATTTGTTTGAAAATTGAATTAGAAAGTTGATGCTGGTATGATTAACTGCAGTACACAACCATATGTTCTCTTATTGCAGGAGGCATGGTTTAGAAGAACTTTTTATTATGCTTGGATGCCTTTTGCTATTGTCAAAGAAACAAATGGTGTTGTTTTGTCTTTGTAGGAAGATGAAAAATTTCTGACAGACTTGTTTGCACAACTAACAGATGAAGCCACAGATGAGGAGAAAAGACAGGAATTGGTAAGAAAACAGCAAAATATATGGAAGGGACAGTTACTACAAGGTGATATGTGAATCTTTTTTTAATTACTAACTGGTAAATTATTCCTGTTTTTCAGGTAAATTTTCTGAAGGAGTTTTGTGCATTCTCTCAAACACTGCAACCTCAAAACAGAGATGCATTCTTCAAAACCTTGTCAAACATGGGCATACTGCCAGCACTAGAAGTCATATTGGTAAGTCAGCTCAATTTTATTTGTGATGACAGTTCTGTTTATCTCCAGAGAGGTTTCTTTAAAAAGGAAGTATACCAAACTTCAGTCACATGCTTTTCTGAAGTGTTTCCTTCATTTTTCTTGTCTTAGCATGAGATTCAGAGCATGTAAAATATTTTATGCTGAAACTTTAAAAGCAGTTACAATATGACATTGGTAAGTGCTGTGGCATTCTTATGGTTTTTGTTGACTCATTCACATTCCTATCTTCACATGGTTCTTGGTGTAGAATTAAATAAGAAAATATGGAAATAGACCAAAGGACAGGGAAACCATAAAAGTTACTTTGCCCCATAGTTGCCAGATGTACAAAGAAGAGGTTACAGTCAATTCAGTTTTAGTAATAGTTAGGTATGACTTGTAAGTAGGAATTGCAAGCTATATGCTTTCTGGTTTTCATTCCACTTAAGCCTTTTCTTTTAAGTAAACATGAATTGTTTTATTTGACTTTTCCAGGGTATGGATGATGCACAAGTACGAAGTGCAGCCACTGATATATTCTCATATTTGGTTGAATACAACCCATCCATGGTACGAGAGTTTGTCATGCAGGAAGCGCAGCAGAATGATGATGTAAGTAGAGGGTCTCCAGAAATGTGTTCCTTAAAATGTGAAATATATAATAATATATAGAAAAAAGGACAGCCAAAAGGCAATACAAGCTACTTCGTAGCTACAGTCACTGATCAGTGTCAGTCTTGATCTCAGCATGTATGTGTTTTTAATTTACTTCTAAGAAACCTGTGTTCCCTTTACTGTCACGGTGAAAGCAGAATTATGGTTCTAAGTGTTGAGAACACTTTTTGACAGAGATTTATGTTTCCCAGAGATCCTCTGTAGCTGATGAATACAGAATGCTAGCATGCAACTGTTAGTAAGAGAGGTATTTAAAAGAGGTTTTCAGTGGATAAAAAAAACATTCTGCTGCCTTTTCCGTTTTTCTTGTATCTGTTAAAAACATGCCAGAGAACAGGGAGCTGCTGGTGCTGCTACTTCTGTACTGGGAGAAGGGGGCAGCTGGGATAGGGAATATCGCTGGGGGTTTCAGCCCTTTGCTGATGACTGTTCTTCTTTATGGTTGCAGTGGTAACCAAGCAACTTTAGTGTAGGGATTCCTAAATGAAAATACTATTTTCTGATCTGATATGATATTCTAATTTTCTGAAAACAGGTTATTGTTAGGTGAAAATAATGTCACCGAGTTCAATAGCGTGAAAAAATTTACTGTTGTGTGTTTGTGGAAATAAAATTTTTTATATGTTTTCCAAAGGGTAATACAAATTAAAACTTCTGTGCTCTGAAGACGCTTCCAGAAATCAGTCAGATTTTGAGACTGTTAAGTATCTGCCTCTGTACTTTTATCTTTTGATGGTTCAGCTCAGACTAAATTCTAAATTAGATTGTTGATTTTGGAACCATTTTTAGTTGCTTTGAAAGATTTTTCTTCACTGCTTCCCTTCTTACTGTTGAACCACTGACCAGAATGTAGTACTGCTGTGTAAAGTTAATTTCTTCCTGTTAAGCGTGGGTTTTTTTCATTTGGTTGTCATTTACAGAATTTTGGTAGAGCTCCATTTTTAACCAGGTGGCAGCCCTTTTAGAAGATAATTTCAGATTTGGAGCAAGGGAGTAGCATTAGAATTGATCTTTGCCTTTTTTCCCCCCCATTAGGATATATTACTTATTAACCTCATTATAGAACACATGATTTGTGACACAGATCCAGAACTTGGAGGGGCAGTGCTGCTCATGGGTTTGCTTCGTACTTTAGTTGATCCAGAAAATATGCTTGCCACTGCCAATGTAAGTAAATACCTTCAAATGACGTTACGTTTGGTTATTTTTAGGGTATTTGGTGATATGTGTTACATATAATTACATAAAATTTTTTTCATTCTTTAGAAAACAGAAAAGACAGAGTTCTTGGGTTTCTTCTACAAACATTGTATGCACGTTCTGACAGCCCCTTTGTTGGCCAATACTACAGAGGACAAGCCTAGCAAAGGTAACGCCACGCTGGATGTTGGGCACATCAGGGCTGTTGAATGTCAGTGTTCAAAACAGAATGACTGCTAGAGGGCATTTTCTGTCTTAAAGAGAATCTGAGACTGTGATAAATAGTTCAGAGTGAAATGTTGATTCATGATTTAGTCATTTGAGTAATTTGTAAGTATGAAATTCAGCAAAGAGACCTGATTGAAGAAGTGAACAGCATTTGCTGGAGCTTCTGCTTCAGCAAGAATTAAAATACTTGTATAATTTTTAGTAACTCATGGGGCTGTTTAGTAATGTAGACTTGTAAACATGTGTAAGTATTTTTTAAGGTCAGGGATTACTGGAGAGGATGCAAAATTGCCCCTGAGGAGGTGTGTATCACAATACTGTGCTGAATTCGAGGGCGTCGGTTCTGTGTCAGGCTAAGCAAGCAGAGATCAGTGATGAAGTAACTGTTCTTGCTGGCTATTGGTAGCTACTGTTTGTTTATTAATAGTATAACACGTCCGAAATGGATGTAGAGAAGGAGGTACGTAAATGATACCTAAATGTTCTCTAAACCTTTTAAGTTATTATATAGCTTTCCAAGGGATTAGTTAAATTAATCCGTTTTATCTCAGCTGGCTTCCAGGTAGATTGGCAGTGAGATTTTTACTATTTAAAATACCTGTGTTCTTTAATAGTCAGCAATCTGGCAATATTTTTTAAAGGGTAGCGCTACCTTAAAAAAAAAAGATTAAATGTAACTTTATTTTGTTATTTGTCTTCTTAAAAGCAGGATTTATGTTTTGCATAGCAGCAGTTAAGTTTTGTATATGCTGATGTGATTTTGTCCTCGAAGTATTAAAAGAGCCTGAGAAATTTGTGTAGTACTTTTGTTAAAAGGCATGATAGATCACAGTTTTGGTACAGACTTAGGGTAGTGCATATAGGGCAGTATTTTATGATATATGCATGGAGACATGATAATGAGATTTGGTTAAGTAAGCCTGGCTGCTTGCGTTAGTGTTAAGTTCTGTATTTTCTGAACCTCAGACATTGATTTAAGACAGACAAAATGTAATTGTTTCTATAGTTTAAGAGGGTTTCCTATTGTAGCTGTATAAACAGAAAATATTCAGTGCATATCAAGCGTGTTTAATTTCTATTTTAAAGACTAAACATACCCTCCAGCATGCTCCCTAAACGATCTGTGGGAAAGTACAAGAACGTGGAAATGTTTACCAGACTGCAGTTGGATATCTGAAGTTAGCTTCTGAAGGCAATATCCTAGATAGGTTTAATGATTTTGGTTTTGGTTTTATTATAGATGATTTTCAGACAGCCCAACTCTTGGCATTAATACTGGAATTGCTGACTTTCTGCGTAGAACACCATACTTACCACATCAAGAACTACATCATTAACAAAGATATCCTGCGAAGGGTGCTCGTTCTCATGGCCTCAAAGCACGCCTTCTTGGCATTGTGTAAGTCTGAAAGCTAAAGAATAAACCTGTATTTTGTGAATGGAAAGTGTTGCATATCTCCATTCTGCTGGGAAACGACTGCTCCCAGATTGTGACAATTTGTGACTGAATGCAGAAATTCTGCTATTGTACTCTAGTGTTAGTAGGTGATTTTGCATTTATGTATGTCTTTTTTCTAAAAAGCAGAAAGATTTTTCTGAATGTAGAGGTGAATTGAAAACATGGTACCTGAATATCAAATATCGTAAAAGAATCTTTGTAAGTTTTGTTTATTTTTTTAGTAGAAATTTTGAGAGGTATTTAATTAGAGGTACAGATATCTGACTGCATTAAACGGCACGGAAGTTCAGTATGCTGCTCTTCAAACTCTGGTAGTTTCTTGACTGTGCTCGGCACAGTAATAATACCTTTTACATTTGTAACTGGATCCCAGTTTGGTTTTAGAACCCTTAAATAATCTTTTTTCATGTACACCTAGTAGCTAACCAAAATGTGCTGCCTTATAGCGAGATGCTGCTCTGCTTTCACATACTTGTGTATGCTTCAGAGTTTCAGAAAGAGCTTTAAACTGTATGTAAATTAAGTCTTTGCTTTACTATGTGTGTGCAGAAAATGTCATCTACTGATTTTAAAATTAGGTAGTTTGCATCCTGATCACATAGGATTTAATTAAATGTAATCAAACTTACTTTTGAATGATAGGAATGTTTTCCTGGTTGTACTGAGAAAATATTTTACCTTTATCATAAGTAATTTAAAAATCATAAATATAGCTTTATGTTAGTAGTAATATACTTAAATAGTAGTATATTATTTCTCTGGCAAACAGAGGTGGTTTCACTTGTACAATTATGGTGGAGGATTTCTATATGATAAAATACATGAGTAGTATTCAACAGTTGAGAAGCAGAGAATAGCTGAATGTATTACCTGGTCCTGATAATGTAATGCTGTATAAGATCTGAGATTGCAAATTGCCCTAACTAAAGCTGAGTAATTTCTGGATTTTTTTCTTACAAATTTAAAATTGTTTTCGGTGACACTTCTGTTTCAGGTGCCCTTCGTTTCAAGAGAAAGATAATTGGACTAAAGGATGAATTCTACAACCGTTACATAATGAAAAGTTTTTTGTTTGAACCTGTGGTCAAAGCATTTCTAAATAATGGTTCCCGTTATAATCTGATGAACTCTGCCATAATAGAGATGTTTGAATTTATCAGAGTGGTGAGTGCTGTTGTATGCTGAAGATAATTGTTCAGTCTCTCAGTTCAAAACGATTTTTCTTCTTGCTTGTGCCCTATATTGTGCTATCATAGCGATGTGACCATATGATACCATATTTCAATGAACTTTCTATTTTATTGGTTATATGTTTGTACATGTTCTTTTTTACATTCAAACAGTACCATGACTTGAAAATTAAATACACTTGATACTCGGTGTACTCACAGTACCCAGATGTGCAAAGGCAGCCTTAATCAAGTTTCATCATGCAGATTGGATAGGCCTGCTACGACAGGAATGTTACTTGAAACCACTGCTACAAAAGCATTAAATGTAGTCATGCTCTGTAATGTCAATTCAAGAGAATGTGGGAACATAGAAGAGATATCATTCTTTTTTGATTATGGTAATGGAGTGTTATAAAGGCCCTACCATGGGGAGTCTCTTAAAATATTGATGCCATTTTGGCGCTCTGCACAGTGCTGTTTCCTCACTGTTGCGTGCATCCAGATGCTGCCAAGATGCTGTTCAGATTGTAAATGTGGGAAGTGGGGCCAAACAAAGGTGCAGGTGGTCATGGAGGAGTAACTGGGTGACGAAGAAAGGAGGCTTTGTCACCCCTTGAAATCTTCTGTGCTGATGACCACCTTGCTCTTTGAGTTGGGACTTGAGGTAATTCAAGACTGAGATGACATGGTCATCGTGGAAGAGCTGATTTAAAATTGGTTTTGAAGCTGTGAAAAAATGTAATCCCTGTGGGTGGCCCTGACTTTTGTGCTGTGGTCTTTTAGTACTCCAAGTGATTGTGCTGATTCTGCAGTTCATGCTATGAGGAAATAATCTTTTATTTTCTTAATCCTCCTTTTCACATAGATACCCAGATACTTCTTGGTATCTGGAAGTAATTTTTGTCTATTTTATTTCATTCAGGTTTATTCTTAAAGAGATCAAGTTAAAAAAATGTGCTTTTATTACTGATGTATTATCATTCATAAGAGGCCTTTGAGCATATAACCAAACCAGAAAATAACCAGTATATTAAGATTTCTGTTGCTTTGCTTGTCCTTAGTAGGTGGTAATTCAGGTGTTTATTCTGGAGCATATTTCAGGGGCTGTGCAGTGCTAAGAAAGCCAAACAATGCACAGGAGGAATTTTCCTGCTTCATCATACAGACCTGTGCTAGTCGCAGCTGTCTGGAGTGGCTTTTGGCAGCCACAGCACTAAACTGAAATAGTAGAAGAGTTGGGAGGTTTTTGTAAAGGGCCTTGACCAGCACTGTATGGCCACAAATTAAAGACTTGATGATAGTTTCTGATGAAAAAATATCTTCCTTGTTCTCATCCTAAACAAATCCATTGAAGAAGTATTTTTACAAAATTTATTTGCAGTCAGGAAAGAAGCAGTATGAATGCTAAGTCTGGATCTCAGAAACATATTTTTAGTTGAGTAATTACAACAGCTATCAGATAATCTATCAATATAAAAATATAAGTTACAGTGGGAAAAACCTTTTAGAATTGGTTTTGGTGTAATTTTCTGTCAGGGTTTTAGGGTCTATTCATGTGTTCTGAAGGAGATACTGCTACAAAATTGTTGATATTTTACCTGTTTCACCAATCAAATATTTGAAGCTGTAGATTTTTAACTACACTTGTATGCATAATACTCATTTTCGCATAAGCTAAATGATATGATGCTTCTTATGGAATGTTTAAAATCTCATTTCAGGTACTTTTTATATTGTATTAAATAAATCCATTTGAATGAAAATAAGTCACTTCATGTTTGTTCATTCTTACAGGAAGATATAAAATCGTTAACGGCTCATGTAATCGAAAATTACTGGAAGGCACTGGAAGATGTAGATTATGTGCAGACATTTAAAGGACTCAAACTACGATTTGAGCAACAAAGGGAAAGACAAGATAATCCAAAACTTGACAGGTAAAATGCACTAAATGCTCTCTTAGTATATTAGTGCTTTAATTTTGTTTTGGGAATATTGGCCAGTTGCTCTGTGAGAGCAGGAAATGTAAATAATTTAGAGTCTTGCTGGCATCTCAGTAATGTTTGAATTTACTTAAAACTGATTTCCAGGTGTGCCGTTTCAAAATCTTGTTCAGCTTTCAGCTGACATTGGTTGCTGGACCCCCAGTAACAATGCTGAGTTGTCATATCCTAAACTTACATTCACTGTTGTAATGAGGCTGGAAGCCTGGCAAGTATCTGAAGTTCATTTGCTTAAATAACAGATTCCCACTGTTTGAACTGAAAGGTTGTTCAGTTATGAATTATCATTTTAGATAATTATCATTTTAGATCATTATCACCTAGGCAAACTGGAGAGGTGGGCCTGTGTGAACTTCACGAGGTTCAACAAGGCCAAGTGCAAAGTCTTGCACCTGGATAGGGGCAACCCTCATTATCAGTACAGGCTGGGAGATGATGTGATAGAGAACAGCCCTGCAGAAAAGGATGTGGGGTTGCTGGGAGATGAAAAGTTGGACATAAGTCAACAGTGCGTCCTCACAGGCCAGAAGGCCAACCACATCCTGGGCTGCATCAAAGGAAGTGTGGCCAGCAGATTGAGGGAGGTGATTCTGCCCCTCTGCTCTGCTCTGGTGACACCTCACCTGCAGTACTGTGTCCAGTTCTGGAGCCCTCAGTACAAGAAGGACATGGAGCTGTTGGAGCAGGTCCAGGGGAGGGCCACAAAAGTGATCAGAGGGCTGGAGCACCTCTCCTAGGAAGAAAGGCTGAGAGAGTTGGGGTTGTTCAGCCTGGAAATGAGAAGGCTTCAGGAGGACCTTATAACGACCTTTCAATACCTGACGGCGTACAAGAAAAGCTTACAAGAAAGCTGGGGAGTGGCTGTTTACCAGGGCACGTAGTGATAGGACGAAGGGCTCTAGTTTTAAACTAGAGCAGGGTAGTTTTAGTTTAGACACTAGGAAAATGTTTTTTGATATGAGGGTGGTAGGTCACTGGCACAGGTTGCCCAGGGAGGTGGTGCAGGCCCTATCCCTGGAGATATTCAAGGCCAGGCTTGATGGGGCTCTGAGCAACCTGATCGGGTTAAAGATGTCCTTGCTCACTGCAGGGGGGTTGGACCAGATGGCCTCTAAAGGTCCCTTCCAACCCAACACATTCTATGATTCTGTGGTAGTGTTGGCAAGCAAATTATTCAGAATTAGATTTATTTTTAAAAGTACATTTAACATTCTTATTTGATACCGTGTAATTTCCAAACTTTTCCCTTCTGGCTTTCTTCTGCAGTCAGTAATGCATGACCTTTTCTGTAAATAGAATAAGCTCAAATTGTATTATTAACATTTTGATTCCAGTAACAGAGGCTTTATAAATAAATAAATTTCAAACTTAGGTTGTGGCCAGTGAAGTTTGAACAAGTGCTACAGAAAATTTGTCAAAGGTTTCATGCTTTTACTGGAAATGGACTGTTCGAATCAACATCTAGCAATGAAAAGGGTGTTTTCAACTTCCCTTCCACGTCTCCTGCTGTTCTTCAGGGTGCACATCACTGTCCCTCTCCTCCAAGGCCATAACACTGCTTCTGTAACAAAAAAAGAAAAGGAAGGTGGAGCGGAGATAGACCGACATAATAGATCAGAGGGGGAGGGAGAAGTAGCACTTTGTATCCAAGGCCCTGAAGAACGCAAATACTGATCCTGCCCAAAAACTGTCACAGGTGGATGTGGCAGAGAGTCGTCATTTTAATGTACCTATTTTAAACTGGAGTAGTATTTAAGTTAGATTTTTGGGTTTTGTTTGTTTGTTTGTTTCCTTTAACACACTGGATCCCAAATACTGATGAGTAATAAAGTATTTTCAGAAGAAAAGTCTGTAGTTCCTAGACTCTTTGTTTTACTTTTTATTTACCAGTGCAAAGTGTTAAACCAAGCCTGAATACAGCACTTCAGTGACATTTCTTAAAATTACTTTTAATAGAGCTCTTTGTAAGCTGCAGAATTTTGGACGCATAAAATAGTCTGAAGATGTTCTTAGCTTTTATAAAGAAAATGGTTTTTTGATATTTGCACTGAAAATACAGCGATTCACATTACAGAATGATGTGCTGGTATTTTTATTGCTCTGCAATACTTGTATGTGTAAACTGTCAGTGTAAATGTCGAGTAGAAGTTTTATTAATAATGTGAGGGTTTTTTTAATGAAAAGTTTTAAAACTTACTGTTCTGCAGCATGCGCTCCATTTTGAGAAACCATAGGTACAGAAGGGATGCAAGAACTCTGGAGGATGAGGAGGAAATGTGGTTTAATACTGATGAAGACGATATGGAAGATGGAGAGGCAGTGGTGCCCCCTTCTGACAAAACTAAAAATGATGAAGATATTATGGACCCTATCAGTAAATTCATGGAAAGGAAAAAATGTAAGTGATGAGAAGAAGAACACCATGTGGCTTATGCAGAAGCCATAACTTCTGTCTTAAGTCCTACTGCAATGAAGATTTTCCATGTATTTATTTTGAAATTTTTAGATTTTGCAGTTGTGACACCGAGATGGTAAACCTTCAAAACTGCTTCTGCTGTCTGTAAAAGCAGAATGATGCAAAATATTGCTGTTGATTTCTTAAAGCATATGAATGACAATCTTAGCTGATAGCCAAGTTTTCCTGTGTTTTATTCAGGTTTATAATTTAAAATTTTCAATGTAAATGTTCAGGTGATAGCATTGGTGGAATAGAAGTGTTCGTTCCTGGCCAATGACAACAGCTACTATGTGGTATAGTGGTATAAAGGAAAATGTCTATAACAACTGACTTTACCAAGTTGTACATAAAGTATTAAGCCTTTTCCCACACTGTAAAATGATTTGTAATTAAATGATTTGCTCAAGAATATTGCTTTACTTTTGTGCCTTTTTTGTGTTTCTTTTTTCTCTCCAGTAAAAGAGAGTGATGAAAAGGAAGTTCTTCTGAAAACTAACCTTTCAGGTCGTCAGAGCCCAAGTTTCAAGCTTTCCTTTTCCAGTGGTACAAAGTCGAACCTTAGCAGCCAGTCCTCTGCGAGCAGTCTGCCCAGCTCCCCGGGCTCCCCCGGCTCCCCAGGCTCCCCTGGGTCTCCAGGATCAGTTTCTAAAAGCACATCTCAGATGGCAGCTATCACAACGAAGGTAATTTTGGATGGACGTGGGCTGACTTCATTGTTACAGATGAGGAATTTGCTGCACCATCTCTCAAATTTGTGTGAATTCTGATGGTAATGGACTGTCTGGTTTGTGTGTACTTTTTGTCTGGGCTTTAGCATTTTTAAGGAGATGTGACGTGTATAAAAAGAAGACATAAAAGCTCTTCTAATGCCCCAGCTTTTTACTGTGAAATACAGACAACGCTTTACTTTTGTTGAATTACACAGGGATGTCTGGCAGATAGAAATATAGGAGTACTTTGGAAACATTGCCAGATTTTGCCAGACTCCATGATGTCCCACCACCCTCATTGAGAATTTCTACTGTTACCATTTTTAATACTGTTCAGAATTCTGTAGCTGGCACACATGAAAAAAATAAATTGTATTATGGCTGGGGGTTGCTGTGAGCCACAACATAAACTACTTTTAATATCCTGGCAAGACTTTTTAACCTTTTGGAATAACGTATAGTTTTCGGTTGGAATATATTGAAGTAGAAGAAGAAAGCCCATTTAAAAGAGTCAATATAACTTTCAGTGAATATCCAAAACCAGCATTTTAGAATACATTTTAGGTCATTGTTGAATTTTATCAGAATTTTGGCTAAAACTATTTAATTAAGTCAGGAAAATAGAGACTGGTGTTTTTCTCAGGACCAGGGGACAGATAAGGTAGACAGACATTGCTACAGCGTAGTTTGGATAATGAGAATTTACTTTCATAACAAGTGTTTCCATTTCTGCAAGGTCAGGTATGTATGTCCGTTCTCAGGTAACCTCAGAATAACTGATTCATCCTTATTTTTTAATGCCATCATACTGCTTGTTCACCTGACTTCTAGTAAAGGTAAATGGGGCTTTAGGGTTTTTTCTTTCTTATAGTCGAATGTGGCTTAAGAGTTTGTGTTTGGATTACCTTCTGTTGAAAACACCCGAATATGAAGGGTTTGGCTGATGAAAGACTGATCAATCCTTCTGTGGAGAAAGGGGAAGCAGATTTATTTCATTTATGAAAAAAATACAGCAGTTAGTCAAGCACTTTTCAAAAGGGGTAGAATTTAGTTCAGTCTATTCTGTATTTCTGGAGGCTTGTTCGCTCCCAGACAGTGTAATTCCTTAAATCTGAAATGGAGTCTTTGCATATGGACCATATTGCATACAGTATTGGCTCCAAAATTTTGACTCGCAGTGAAAGAAAAATATTCAGGTTAGACTGAATATGCAGTGCACTGAAAAACCATTCCTGGATTCGGGCATAAGCTGCCTTCTTTTGGTGTAACATTTATTGTTTATAAATGTGCCACAATGACAAATTAGAAACAGTGTTGAAATTGGGGTTTTCAGTAATGATCCGATGCTGTTATTTTCTGTGTAGTATCCTCAGTGTTATGTCGTATGTGATTGTACAGAACATGTGTAATTGTGTATGGAGTTGTATTTTGGTGTAGAGTTGGCTGAGATTTTCTGGTTTGGATGCCTGTCATTAGACACCTGAATAATGGGATCTTTCCGTAAAGTGCCAGTAACTGCCATTGTAGTCAAATCCTGGTTAAGCTTCAGAAGTTGCTGTGTCCTGTAGTTAACAGGAAAAAATTTTAAATTCATGCCACTTCTTCATAGGTCCATAGCTGCCTAAGCTTAAAATTTGTGGTTGTTTGCAATACAAGGGAGTTTGCAGTATTACTAGATACGCTTCTGTTTTCAGTAGCCAAGTAGTTTAAATTTTATAACCTGTACACCTCATTCAGTGATACTGTACAAAAAATACTGAAGTTACAGCGCATTTAAACTAGCTTTTATGAAGACAGTGTTCTAAGAGTATCGAAATTCAGAAACTCAAATTTGAGGATATTCTGTATTTATTTCTGAAGTGCTTCCAGATTGCTCATTGCTGCTATGCTTAGTGGAAAGAAAAAAAATCACATCTTTACAGCTATAGATGGGTTTTTTAAAATTTTCTTAAATTTCGACTGGAAATATTTCTATCCAGTTGGATAGGTAAAACATTTTGGATTTATTCATTTAAATATTTTTCAGACAGTATCATCTTCATTCATACTGAAGGATTTATTTTTGTTCTGCTTCATGTTATTCCAAACGCCATGGATCAATATGCGTATGGCAATACTTTGTACAAGCATTTCCCAATACAAACGTGAGGTATCAATGTGCAATCATTTTCTTAATTGTAGTAATTGTGCCTGTCTTTGTAGGGAGGCCTCGTTGGGCTCGTAGATTATCCTGATGATGATGAAGAGGATGATGAAGATGAAGATAAGGAGGAAACTTTACCTTTGTCAAAGAAAGCAAAGCTTGAGTCATCGTAATGGCAACTGCTGAAGAACGTTACCAGTTGGGGAAAGGATTTTTTTTCCAAAAACAAAACCAACGCGCAGCAAAGCAGCAATCTTCTGTGAATTCCTGTGTGTGACACAGATCAACCTGTACAAACAGATTTCTGCCAATCAAGTGCCAATTCAGAGGAGCAGAAGAAGGGGAAATACTTCATTTCGGGGAAAGACTGACGCCTTTGAGCTCTCCAGCTTGGACCACACATTGCCCTTTTCTCAGGGAAGGAAATGGAAAAAACAAACAAAAAAAGCCAACAGGGCAGGAGTTTTGTCAGTGGAACTCTGGATTGGCTGCTCAGTTGCTACAATCAGAATATGCTTTCTTGGACCATATATGAGACTTCTGAAGAAAAGGCGGTTTTTGCCATAATTCTTCACTAGTTAAGAATGCCAGCAGTTTCTTTGTATAAAAGAGACCTGCCTTTGAAATCGTACATTCTGAACATTTTAGTCAAGCTACAACAGGTTTTAAAAACCTCTGTGGGGGAGGGCCGAATATAAAGTTTCCTCTTTTTTTTTGTTGTTTTTTTTTTTAAATCTGTTCCCTTTGCCCTTTAAACTGCAGCGTTTTCTTTTGGAGGTGGGGGATTCGTTTGTCCCTTCTTGATTAAAGATTGAGTGGAATTCTAGATGTGGTCACTTTTGTGTCATAATTTTTTTTTGCCCCCCTGAGTGTATGCTTAGTTGTTGAGTATATATTTGGGACCATTAAAATTTTTTGATGTAATATAATCTCACTGTTGTGCTGGTACCTGTTTCACCCTGTGTAATTTTGTTCTGCATCACAGTTCTTAATATGTTTAGGATTTTATGGAAGATGGTATAGTTTTTATTAGAAAAAAAAATAATCTTACCATAATGTGCATAAAAGCAATACTTATTTTGTGACTAAATATTTTATATTAAATTTTACATCAGCAGCTGTCTTGAGAAAAAAATTCAGGGAAATAGGATGGACTCAAAAAATTGAAACCTATAAATATGAAATTAGTATTCCAAAGAGACTTTGAAATTTCTTAACTGAGGACAATGATGGTAAACTAACACCTCAAAGTGCAAGATGGGTTATTTAGGAATACCAACAGATTGACTCATTTGACTTACAAAAATAAAAAAGACATAATTAAAGCTGAAGGAAAACGGCATTAGTGGTATTTTTTAAAACCTCTGATTCCCTTTGGAATACCAGTTTTAGTGAAGCAAAGATGGTTGTAGAATAAACTCTTTACAAGGATACCATCTTTTGAAATTTATTCTAATACTTGATTGAAAAACGACGATAAACTTTGGGTCTAACTCAGTGACTACACTCCTTCCCCTTTTTCCAGAAATCTAAATAATACTAGTTACTAATTTGAAACTAAATACTATATCCTGCTTCCTTACTGCTTTTACAGAAGATGGCTTTGATTGCGTGGCAGACTCTGTGCTGGCTACAAATGTCAAAGCTTTTGTGCATGGACTTTTATTAATCCATATTAGTAATTTCAGATTTAAGTAAGAGTGTGCATTACAGAAAAATAGTCATCTTTTCCCCAAAAATTTCATTTGAAATCACTTTCCAAGGTTGAGATTTTACAGTGTGCTTGAAATGTCTGTGACAGGGCAGTTTTCAGCAATCAATGTTACAGAGAACAAGAGCTGAGCACTTGCACAGCACAAGACTGGATACGGTCTCCTGCTGCAGAATGGGAGTCCCCATCCTGTCTCAACCACCTGCCTGATTTTTGCAACTTTGGTGTCAGAGCAGACACCATCACAAGGAAATTTGTCATTTTGCAAGTTGTCTTAATTAGCCTGGATTTGAATCCTTCCCAATTTGTCAGACTTTCCTTGAGTGTAAAGCTCTCAGAAGTTACCCATATCATCGACTTCTTGTCCTCCAGGCTGTATCTCAGCGAATCATTCTTCTGAGTTGGTCAAGGGAACATTTTTGTTGATGTTATTTCTGTTCCTTCAGCTACTGAACTTTCAACTTCAGTAACTTTCAGATACTTTCACAATACCTGTAAGAATCTTGGATTTTGGACTTTTGAGTACTTGAAGCATGATGTTTAACAGAAGAAACAGTATCCTTCAGTTACTGGGTTTGGTCAAATAATAATGGAAGTAGGAATATTTTTGAACTTTCTAGATTTTTATAAAGCTCTAAAGGACTGGTAAAATAGTAAGCTGCACATCTTTTAATGCTGTTTAACTTGGAGTTAGACGGTTAGTTGTCTCCCTGGTTACCCAGTGCTTGGGACCTGACAGGACATGGCTACACTCAGATGATAATTCCTAGAAGTTGGAAGTAGTCAGAAAGTTGGTGCGCTGGGCACAGTGGTGGGTATGCTCTTGCCCAGTGACTTTTGTATTCATGGAAATCTTGAAATGTATTTCAGGAAAAAGGAAATTGTGAGAACTGATGGATATTTTAAAAAGAAAGTGGTTATGAGTGAAGAGGTGGAAAAAATCATGTTACAAAGCAGTGATCCATCCTAGGTATTTCTCTGGGCTGATGGAGTTTTTTCATTCTTAGTTTTAATACCATTTGTCCACATCCCAAGAGAGCTGCGTGTATATTGTATGGCTCAGTAGCCTTAACGGCATTTTAACTGCATCCTTAAGTATGGTTCACAGAGTAAACTCCTAAGTATCACAGGCAAGATGCAATGTGCTTGTAAAACTGGGTGAGCATTCGAAGAAGAGAAGTTACCAGCAACTGAAGTTTTTCAAGGTAAGTTGTCCATGTACATGTTCCCCACCTGCTCCTACTGCTTTCTCTTTTTGTAGTCCAAAAGAAGTGCAGGTATATACGTGTATATATATATATTTACATATACCGCTTACGCTGCAGTCCAGAAGGGAGGCAGGGCATGTGGGCGTGCTGCAGATCCAGCAGAACCTTCTGGGGAAGGATTTGTAACCCCTGCCTTCAACCACTGCCACAATTTAAAGTCTGTTCCTCACATGAGGGAGGTGTAGTCTTTTCGCTTGTGTGTCAGATGTACGCTTAAGTGCCTGAAATCTTGGAGATGTGATTTTAAAGTGTGCTTACCTCAGTAAGGCATATTTTAAACCTGCTGGTGCTGAGTGGCCTCTGATTGATGTGGTGGTGAGGTGGGAGGTTGACGCTCTTAGGTTGAAGAGTTGAGTAGATTCTTCCATCCTCGTGGTGAGGCCAGGGACAGCACAACTGTATCTTTGTCACTGAGCTGGTGTTGAATGGCCAGGGATGTGCAGTTTGTAAATCTCGCCATTCCGCAGGACTTGATTAGTGCGGTGACCAGGGATGTGCAGGTAATTGGAAACAGCTCCCGATGGACTGATTTACGGAAGTTTGCTAACAATAAAAGTCTGTGCTAACAACAACGTACGTTTGGGAAAAACACATTTCACAGTTTGCTTCTACTTTTACACATCTGAAAAACAATGTTAAATTAGATCCATCTTAGCTTGAAAAGAAGTTTTTCTTCCGATGGCTCCCCCCACCTCCACAGTTCCCCCAAAACTGCAGTGATTTCCTCTGCTGCCATCAGTCAGGATTCTGTACATGAGCCAGAAGAGCTGGAAGCTGCAATTCTTATTGAAGAAATAACTGCTGATTAAAACCAGCAACAGAGCACAGCTCTTAGCATGTTTGAGTTTACCCTTAAAATAGAAATAAATCTCCTACCTCTTCAGGGTCTAAATTACCTGCAGTAAGAAACAGGGAAGATATAAATGTTTGTTTTTCATGGGCAGGAGGACCAAGTACCAAAGGTGATTACAGAGTAATACAAGTCTTTGTCTTCAGAAGCTTTCATACGTGCTTGCGCTTTATAAAGCACCTTGGACATTTTCTCAGTGTCTGTACAGTTTGCCATATCTCTGTCTGAATATATAGGCACTATTTCATGTTTAGGAACAGGACAGACCTTCTCCCAGTGTCACATTCAAAGTTAGCAATAACAAAGCATCATGTTTTGATGAGAACACAGGGTAGTTATATCTCCATCAAAGAAATCAGCTCTGTATCATCAGACATTTGTGCCTGCCTCCATGCCATGTGCTGACAATTCTGTAGTAGACTGCATGAGCTCTTCTTATCATAAACATCAGAACAGCAGCAGCAGTTCTACAGAGATCTGTGTGTATTTTGATCATATCATCCCTAATGAGATTACTGGAATTACTCCCGTTTTCAGTGGGGTGCAGGTCTCAATGGATTCTTGCAAATCTTGCTCACCTTGCAACTTACCTTCACACTGAAGCAGCATCACTCAGGATTGCTGTTAATTACATAATTTTAAGGAAAAATAAATTAAGTATCTGCCTAAATATATGGATCCTCTTAAAGGGATCAATTATTTCAGAAATGAAGGCTGTTAGAGTACTGCAAGTGTAGTGGCAAATTTCTACAGACTAGAAAATACAAAGTATGAGGACTGGCAGGAGGTGTATATAGCCAAGGAAGAGAACGGCTTTTAAACAGCAGTCTCACCAAAGTAGAGTCCTTGCATGCTCTACAGTGAGTTTACAGTCACCACAGCATCTATGAAACACGGGTGTTATAATGCAAATCATTCTCTCAAGCATCTGTAATTGAAAAATAATCTCACTTCTAAGAGAGTGAGCCAAGCCCATGTGATTTAAACTCAGTTTCTGTTCACATTAACCTTCTCTAAATAAGATTATCAAAGCCACCTTCTGTGTTTCAGCACATTGTCAGTACATACGTAAGTCCCTGAGCACCACTTTCTACCATGTGCTTGTAAAACAGCTATCTATAACCCTTTCACTGGACAACCTGAGTTTCGTGCCTTCTGTCGCAACGCCTCAAAACTGGACTCTTTAATTTCATTAGTTCCTCAAATTACTAAAATTCTTACCACATCTATCTGACTTACACAGAAGTGAATTTTGGGTGCTGTCTGAGCAGGTAGCACAGTCACAAATTTCCCAGTCCCCACATTGTTCACTGTTCCAAGAAATGGCTCTCAGTGGATATGCGAGGTGGTGGTCTCAGCCTTACCATCATCTACCTCTCTTTGTTATAACGTCTCCTCCTTGGAGTGTTTTCCTTGAATTTACACTTCAGCTCTAGCCAACCTGCATACTTTCCAAAGCCACTTATAAAATCTGTGGTTGTGCTTGCCCATTATTCTTCCCTAGACTCTAATGTCATCACTGTAGATATTTATAAGCTTTTCTATAACTAGAACACCAAAACAGCACTCTGAAGGATGAACAATCTCCTAAAGCGCTGGATCTTCAAAATCACATTCTGTTTTTGTAAGGACATTTGCTAGTGATGATTGATAGGAACTGATACTGATGACTTGAAAATATTTTCAAATCAGTATTAAATGTTTAACAAAATCAAAAGATGTTCCATTTGATGCATTTTAGTTCTTTCTATACCTTCAGAGATCCCAGTAACCTGGTGTGATCCTATCGGTTCTTCTGCTCACCCTGTGATTCCCAGTTAGCACTGCTGGTGTAGTTCCTCTTTTACCTCCTGACAAGACAGAGAAACTGAGGAACATAGCAATCATCTGCCTTGGTTGTGTTCTGTGCCTTGATGAGAACCCAAGCTTTTGGATAACATTCCCAAGCCTTTACACAATTATTTTGGTCCTTGCCTCTTCAGTGATTACCTTCTC